ATTCTCTTCAATTTCAACTTAAACTTGCATGTGAGCAATTAATGGTTTCAGTTGGCCCTAGGCCTTGTTCTGACTGATGAGAATTGAGGTTCTCTGTCATCTCTTTCCACAGATGTAGTGGATTTGATTCCTATGTATTCTTCTAGCAAGGTCTACATGTATAGTCACTATTTATTTCAAAGAAAGTATTTGCAATGAATAAGTTGTTGGTCTTGCAAAATTATATCAGCATTTTCTGATGTCATTTCTGTCAACAAGGCCATATTTTCCAACTACTAATGGATGCTTCTTTGTTTCCAACTTTTGCATTCCAGTCATCAGTAATTATCAGTGCATCTTGCTTGCATGTTTGATCAACTTCGGACTGTAGAAGTTGGTAAAAATCTTCAGTTTTTTCATTTTCACCTTTAGTGGTTTGTGTGTAAATTTGAATAATAGTAGTATTAACTGGTCTTCTTTTTAAAAGACCAAACTCACTGCCATCAAGTCGATTCCGACTCAACGACACCTATTGGGTTTCCAAGACTATAAATCTTTTCGTCTTACTTATCGGTGTATGCATATTATCATATCACTGACAGCATTGTACTTCAGGGTGGATCTTGAAATGTTTTTTTGACAATGAATGCAATGCCATTCCTCTTCAATTTGTCATTCCTAGCATAGTAGATCATATGGTTGTCTGATTCCAAATGGCCAATTCTAGTCCATTTTTGCTCACTAATGCCTAGGATAATTGACAACTTCCAATTTCTCTGGATTCATACTTTGTACATTCCACATTCCTGTTACTAATGGACATTTGCAGCTGTTTCTTCTAATTTTTTTGTCCTGCCATATCAGCAAATGAAGATCCTGAAAGCATTACTCAGTCCATATCACTAAGGCCAGGTCCACTTTGAGGAGGTAGCTTTTCTCCAGTCATATTTTGAATATCTTCCAATCTTTGGTGCTTGTCTTCTGGAACTCTATCAAAAATGTTTCATAATGTCATTAGTGGTCAGTATTTTCAGAAGTAGACCACCACATCCTTCTTTATCTTGATCTAGAAACTTCACTGAAACCTGGCCACCCATGAGTCGTCACCTTGCAGTATTTGAGTGACCACCAGTATTTGAAATACTGGTGGCATAGTTTCCAGCATCAGAGCAAAATGCAAGCCACCACAATATGACAAATTGGACAGGAATGGTGGAGTTAATTGTAGCTATTGTTTTTTCAATTGGCAGCTTTGAAGTGCCAATTCATTCTGGCTGTTGCTTTTTATAAATTAACAATTCTTGGTTGCATGGTGGCACTACCATAATAAGAATGTCTTTAATCTCATCTCTTCCACCTAGGAGCTAGAAGAAGTAATGGCGGTTTTTATTGTGCATATAATTTTGAAACTGTGCTGGGGGAAAAATGACCCTAGAGTCACACATTTTCTATAGAGAACCTTTTATTAAGACTTAAATAGGACAAAGGCAAAGCAGTCAACCTGAATGAGAGTATCATCCCAGATGACAGAAACTGTCATCATAAGGCCAGTGAATTCTGCTGAATCATAGCCATGGTTTTCATATATATGATAGAGAAGAGAAGAAGTCATCACAAGGTCATCATTGGTGGCACATGGATCCATCACTGTTGCAGGCAGGACTACAGAAATAGGGAAAGGACCATGATTGGGATAAGTACATAATTGAAGATTAAAAGGCTATGGATTGTTTCTGGGGTTTCTGTTTGTTCTGTTTGATGGACGGGGTGTTGACTTATGATCATGTGACTGTGAGTCATTGTCACCAGGATTGCAACTGTTAAATTAGGTAACATGTAAATGTATTAGAGCTTAAATTCTAAAACACTTGGATTTGTGGAAGGCTATGGTCTATAGTGGTAGTAACCCTAACTCCATTTTTTGGCTTAACATAAATTTCAGATGTCATTTGAATTCTTTTTGACCTTTCAACCAACATTATGGCTATGCATAGACAAGTTCCAAGACAAACCTAGGGAGGGGCAGTTTGCCCTCAGGAAGAATGTGGTTGAAAGTAGATTATACTCTCACAAAAATCTAGGGATCTTGACTTTGTGTCCTTTTCTAATTTAAATTAAGGTTGTTGTTGTTGTTGTTGTTGTTATGTGCCGTCAAATCTATTGAAACAGACTGCCTCCTCTAGTGTCCCAGCTGGTGGGTTCAAATCACTCATCTTTTGCGTAGCAGCCGAATGCTTTAACCACTGCGCCATCAGAGCTCCTCCCCAGCCTCCTTAGACCCCTGTATTTCTGCCTGGATCTCAGCGGGCACATGAGAACGTGACAGTTGGGTGGTGGGGGTGTTCTATTCATGGCTACCCCACTACATTTATCCTCCCTTACACACTTTAGCCAACTTTATAGTGAAATCTTTTGGGCTTTGTCAGTAGACAGGCCCGTCATCTGAAACCAGTAACCTTGTTGTCTCCTCCATTCCTCATTATCTCATTATATTTGCGACAG